TCAAAAGACTCTAAGGGCCACCCCCTAGACTCGGTTTAATTAGAATAATCAATACCAAGCCACCTTGCATATTAATTATTCACAATTAAACTGTTTCAACACAATTAGCCAAAAAGAAAATCAAAGAAAAGCAATTAACATTTTTAGTCCAATAACCAAGCCACCTTGAATTACCACTAAATGTTCACAATAATTTCAAAACATAGTCTGACCCAGTACAATGTAAAGAAATTAAAGCTAATACAGCATAATGTTAAATGCTAATCAAAGATTCTAACAACTACAACTAATCTCAATACAAATATAAATCATCACAGCCCATTTAAACATTATAAAATTCATTCTAAGACCTAGAAATCACAATTATAATGAAAGAAGTAAAGATTAGAAGAGTTGAAACTCCCCTTTAAAGTTTCAAGTTCAAGCCATAAATATTGTGCCAGAGAATTGAAGGATTTAGCCAAGCCCCTGCATCACTGAAGCTCCACCGTATGCTTCAGCTATTAAAGCCATAACAGATAGCACAAACGAAGATAAAAGAGACGATGATGATGGCGAATGGGCTTCCTGTCTCGCGTCTCTGCTCACGCTGCTGTGCCTCTCGTGTCCTCTCTCAATTTTTCTTCCGCCGCCCCTGCTCCCTTGCGTGTGTGTGTCCTCTTATTTCCGCGCCGCTTCCTTGTGTTTGAAGAAGAATTATAGTATATTAGGTTTGGGGGGGCAAAACGTTGCGTTTTGCTCCCCCATTTATTATTATATATATTTTTTAATTTATTTTTCTTTTATTTTTTTCTCTTTTTTTTAATTTTGATTTTTATTTTTAAATCTTCTAAAAACCTGCAAACAAAATTCAAGGATAAGGTAGCATTAATGGTCCTCAAAAATCAATTAGTCACAATTAAACCAAAATATGACAATTTTGCCCCTAAAAAATAATCATTTAAAATAAAACATATTAAATCAATTAAGGCAAAAAGGGACTAATTAAGCTGACAAAACTTACATAAAAGATACCAAAATATATAAAAATAATTGAGTTTGTCACTACCACAATCCAACAAGTCAAGGAAATAGACAATTCAGAATTCTAGTTCAAAACCAATAAAGGACAACTCCAAAATTTCAGTTCAACTTCCCAAAATATTGAAAACAACAAATAGGTCCTAGCCAGAGTTACTTTTGAAGTCACCTTAATTAGAGCATAGAGCTATAATTAATCTATACAGTTCCAATCCCTCCTTTAAACCAGTATCCCTTCAATTTATGGTTTAATCAACTCATTAGAGATATGAATTAATTAACCAATGGAATTGGACTTAGCAGAAGGGCCAATCCTCTACAATGTAGCGAACTAATGTTCAAATCCCTAATAAGAGATATTCTACATTTAGGGCGCTTGATAATGCCTCAAAAGGAAGGGGCTAATCCCTTATAATGTAGCAAACCAATATTCAAATTTCTATTGGAAAAGATTCCACATTTAGTGTGCCTGATAATGCTTTAAATAAGATTACCTTTAATAGGAGAATATTTGTACTTAGCAAAAAAAAAAAAAAGAGATATGAATTAATCACTTAACAAATCCCCGTTAATTCACCAAAGGCTCCCAATCCGTTGTGCTAGGGTTCATGGGCCGACATGGTTGGGTAGTATTATTCAGTAAGCAAGTTAACCTGATCAGATCAATTAAATTGCAAATGTACATAAATAGATAAATACAAGTTGATCTGCAAATCATGTGCTGGGCCGAAGATGGCTTATTATATTCCTGAACCTTCCTCTGATAAGTCACCAAAATTATCTTATCATGGCCAGTTTGTGACCCTCTCTCTGCCAACTTTATAAAAGATTCGTTTTTGGGAAAAAAAAATTTAAGTATGAACACAAGAGAGAAAAAGTATCATACATATGCAGTAAACAGTAAAATATTGATTTTTAAGAATAGCGAACTAAATTTTAGTACTGAATGTAAGTTTATGAGTTCTTCTACACCTATGCGTATTATTAAGCTTTATTCTATTTGATGTGAGACTTCTCACATAAAGGCAGGTCCGCATTTGTACTTAATATCCTAACATTTTGATATGATTTTAATGATCAGATTTGGACATAATTGAGGTCTAATAAAAAGCAGCTAGTTTGCCAAGCTAGCATTGTTCTTATTTTCTTGCCTACTTTAGAAATAACCTTCCCCACTGCACAAGCCTTTGGATTTTTTTTTTTTATTGAAGTAAATTTTTTTTTAAAAGACCAAAAGAGCCGGGTTTAGTAGAAGGAGCTATTCACCCACAACTTTTGAATCAATGCTTGAACCTTCACTAGCAGAGATACCCACATTTAGTATCCAACAATTTCTCGAACCGAATTGCTTTCAACGGGAGGATACCACAAAAGCATCTATCTGCATTGTGCGAATTAAAAATGAATGTGAACCCATGTTGTGCTTTCTTTCTGATAATTATTAATTCTTAGTTAAAGCAGTTTGATATTTAAAATAGCATACACGGCTGCGAATGACTCCGTACGAAATTATAATATAGCCTGAAGCTTTGCAAATATCTATGTTACAGGATTAATTTCTTATTCAGCTAACGCGGTATGTTGATCAAATATAACATAATATAGATAGATTATACTCCTCAGGTCTTAAATATAAGACCCATTTTGTGATGTACCTAAATTAGTGTAATTATATTGTAAAATGAGTTTTGTATTTAGGATCAAAGGAGTATTATGTATTGTTTTATTGATAGAATTTTTATATTAGATAAGTTATATTATTTATGACCTTATTGATGAAATTTTTATATTATATAAACATTTATTTGACACAAACATACATGTGAACCCAAGAAACGAAAAAATGTGATTTTTTTCATATGAAATGATGTATTACGAAATACCTGCGTTTTAATTGGAGAGAGGAGTAGGTAATCAAGAGTTCATTCATTAAGAGTTCAAAATAATCCTAGAATCAAAGCTTGAGCTCTGCATATTCAGAATACCAATAAGAACATGCATATACTTCAACACAAACATTGAACAAGAGGAAGGGAAACGGGAATGGAGTAAAAACCAAGACACGAAACCAAATTCTCTTTCAATCTTCAAACTCCAACTCAATCTCTACAACAATCCTCACTCTAGTTCAACAAAAGACTTCCAAATGCAACCAAAAAGACCAGAACGATGGCCAAGTCAAAGCAAAAGGATATATATGTTTCAAACAATAAAATTTTTTAGTTTAGTGAAGCACATCGTTTTGCTATGAGCGACAGAGCACCCAGGCCCTCATTCCAATGCCTTGGTGCTCGTGCTCTCTGCCTCTATTTTCTTTTCTCATTAAATTTGGATTAGTTTTTCTTAAACGATTTTGTACTACATATGAGATAATATAGAAGAAGAGTTTTATCTTCGCTTTATAAACTATAAAAGAATCCTTTTTATTTGATTATAAGGTTTTCCAGACACCGGTAACTATGCTATGACTATGACAGTCTTTTTCTTAACCTTACAATGATCCTCGTTCAACGCAAGGGGATGTTAAAAATAAAATCAACTAAAATTTTCATTAGAAAAAGAATATACATGGCTAAGTGCCTAAGACTGATTCCGCACGAAAATATAGTGCATAGCCTATGTCATAGGCTCATAGCATTTATAAATAAGTCTTGAAAATTTGTAAAGATACATTCAAATCTTATAGGACTTACTTATCATTAATTTTTACTATGTGAAATAACATAAAACTCCTTAGCCTCACTCACGATATGGAAACTAATCAAACATTATAGAATAAATGAATAATATTCTTGCCCACTTAAATTACAAACCAAAAACCCTAAAAATTAAACCAAATAAATTATTCTTAACACTGCAAAAGCCTGTGAGGTTGCGGGGTCCAGAATAAGGAAGGTTGCAATTTTTAAGACGATAGTTGATAGGTTAACTTGCAATTTTGTCGAAAAACTAATTCTGATAACCGCCGCCCCATGTTCATTTGTGGATGATAAGTGCTTAGCCCATCTTTTTTGAATTCGATATGAACTTTTTCGTACCCTTGTGATAATGTTCTTATGTCTCGATGAAGATGTGGTTCCTGAAACAATCAAAGCCCTCAAATAGTTTAACTCATAGAAAAGACAAATCAGAAAATTAACAATTCAGGTATAATGATTTAAATAAGAATAGCCGACAATGGCCAGCTTGCTCCATTTCATTTATTTAATTAATTAGCTAAAAGTAGATTGGCAATAACTTGACTGCTATGCATAATTTTTATTTGCTCACATATGCATTCACATTGACACTCCAAAAATTTATTTCTCGGGTGAAGTAAACAATGCTCAATTTACTATTCTGATGATCTACATTTCTAGTGCATATATTTAGTTTGATATGTTCCTGCAAAAAATATAATTAACTTTGATTTAAACTTCAAGTCTTTGTACATTATCACTCGGTATATTGTTTATATTGCCACCAATTCTTAAGTACTCATGTATTAACTTGACGAAATTCAATTTCCATTATGTTTTTGAGAGTATATTTATCGAATTATTTACACACATGGTCAAATGGTTTGAATATAGGAAAATAGAACCATAAGCAATAAATATAGAACATTATGCCATTTACTAGAAATGTAAATAAAGTAGGGATGGGGGGAATAGAGATTTATCCTAATTCAGCTTATTCACTAAGTTTACACTCGTTCTGAAGTGAACACTTGAAGTTTTTACATATCACCAAAAAGGGAAGGGGGAAAAAGAACAAAGGTAGGATAAAACGGGAGGTTCATGTTTATGGCTATTTCATTGAAAGGTAGACAGGTCAAATTCCATTCATTTGATCACAACAAATCTGGATACTATATAATTCAACACTTGGCACATTTGGTAGTATTATTGTCTAAAATTTACAGAGACACAGCCGATATAATACGTTTGATCCTTATTTTATAACAATGACAGAAATGATTCCTGAGGAAACACCTCTAACAGGAAAGTTGGTGGCAGCGTGGCGTTAAGAATCCTAGATTGTCCAAGAGCTTGTGCTAAGGCAGCTGTAATCTGTCATAAAAATCAAGTATTTAACTAGTTGTTATTCTAAAGAATGAGCAATATATATTTACTCAGTTTCAAGGGATATATAAGATATACCCCAGCTCCATTGCTTTGGTTGGTGATTCACTAGATTGAGACTGTGATTGGCTCAGCTGGAGATTAATAGTGCATGTAGGGTTATTAGGATTCCCATATTCTTCATTCACAACCCTTGCTTCAGAAATCTAAGGAAAGTGGCCAAAAAAAAACAAACCAAGTCTATGAACACTTTGAAAGAAAACTTGAAACATTTAGCTTTTGAATAAATAGTACAGGCTCACTAGAGATGATGTCTTCATCTTCCCTCCTTTGTTGTTGTGTAATTGGAGGCAAACTTCTTCGTCTGTAGCACATTTATTACATGGCCTATAATTCGATAAAATGTTTTTATCAACTTACCTTCGTCTGTAATTCTGCATTTTCTTTACTAATGACTTCCATTGTTTTGTAGAGTTGTACATTTTCTTGGCGAATTTGATGTCCCTGCAATAGCATTATATGGGAAGTCAGAATATGTGGGAAGTCCTTTCTTACATGGCAAGATCAGAAGCTGACTTCTTGAGTACCTTGTGTTGTAACTCTTTAATCTCATCAGCTAAAATTTGCTCCTACAGACGAATTAATGATCAAGTTCAGGTTAACATATTCGCTTGTATATATAAGTGGTGACATGTTACATTGAATGCAGGATATAAGTTGAAATGATCTATCATACCTTCTTGATCTGGACCTTTTTCAAACTCATCTCCAGTTGATTTTCCAAACTTTTTAATTCGTTGATTCCCAGACCAGAGAGTTGTTCACCCGTGAATTGCCTACATTTTCAAAAGGAAATAAGTTACTTGTGGTTTACTAAATTTTTCCATTTATTTTCAGAATATATTCTGGGGAAAAAAATCAGAACATATTGCACTTTAATTTTGAAGCGAGTTCAAAACCAATGTGTTGCAGTGCTTTGTTCATAGCATTTTCGTGTTAGATTAACATTTCGTACCTGTGCAGTTCCTGCAAGTGTTGTAGTTGTTGCCTTAAGACTGTTGCTTCTCTCCGCCAAAACTAACAAGTGCAACCACACATATAACGATAGCATTCAATATAATAAGGAGTGATGCAATTGTAAGGAAGAAGTTGTAAGTTCTAACTAATGATACTATCTCCTATTCTTATTTGGTCCAAAATATAATAGCCTAATCTATTTGTCTCTCGTATTTATTTATTTTTTTATGAAATAATCCCTATGGTGATTGCACATGTTAAAGGTTCCATGAAAGAGTTTGGTTCTAAGACACATGATTAACAAGGGTATTTTAGAAAAGAAATACCTATTTATTTCAAATACCTAGCTTAACTAATTTTCTTAATATTTACAGATGAGTTATCTAGCTTTTGTATTGAAGACCAGAAATAGTATAAGCATTTCTAGGTCCAAATCTCTTCATAGCATTTTGTACAAATTACTTGTAATTGCTCTTTATTAGTTAATCTATATATGAGACCCTACTTTCATTCTCCAGATAACTTGTTATAAATTTATTTACAAATCAAAATATATATTTTTTAAAAAAAACAAAGGCCTTAAATGCATCTTTTGCAATTTATATGTGATGTTTTGGGAAAATTCATATGTCAATGAAGGAAGTAAAAAGTTGAACAACTCATTAAATTTGTCAAAAACATAACATTCCTCTTGAGTGAACCCCCTACCCCTCTTGAGTGAAAGAAAATATAGGGCATAACATTAATTACAAAAGTGAAGGAAAATTTAAAAAAAATCATTAGTACACCAAGCAAAACTTAATTAATCATGGCTTATATTTTGGATTAGGATCATGCATGACTTTATGTACGTTGAACTTGAGGCAGTGCATGCGCAGATAAACCCTGTTAAAATTTAAGCCTTTTACGGATAAATAATGAACAAAATTAATAGTATGAGAGTATAATGCAAAGGTTCATGAATGTTTATTGTAAAGTTTCAGAAGTCTGGGAGGTTGTTCACATATGAGGTTAATAAAACTGGCAGAGGTTAGTTTAATCTCGCCATTAATTAAGGGGTGACTCCATTTAATGATTTCGTAAGGGCTACTTTTGAGAAAAAACAAATTGTAGAATATTTAAAGTATATGGTTATGGGATTTAATGCAATTAATAGGGGTAATATTGAAAAATAATGAAGTTTTATGACAATTTCATGCTTTAATTAGCCTTTGACTACTTTTTTTTAAGGAAAATACTTGCACCAAGTTCCTCATATTCATTATATGAAGTTCTACAATTACAAGTGGTCATGTGTCCTACTTTTAATGAATATAAGAAACTTGACATAAGTATTATTTTTTTTAATACATGCAAATGAAATAAAAGTGACTTATATTATATCTAGACTCGAAGGAATACACTAAAGGGCCATAAAATCCTTGTAGGAGTGACTTATAATACTCCCTTCATAACTTTGTCCCCCCCCCCAATTAAGTATATGTATCTTCTGTTGGAAGTTTGTTTGAGGCACTATAAGGTCACTTGTATCTATCATAAGACATTAATAGAAATGGAGGGAGTAGATACCAAAGGAAGCACAAAAGTTATTGAAGGGTCATAACAATGGCCGCATCTCAATACGTGCGTGCGTGCGTTTTAAAAATTTTTCTATCCAATATCCTCCCTCTAGTTTTATGCATCAACCGCGCATAACGTGCTAACCAGAACTAGGAAAAGGTAGTTAGATCATTGGTATTGTCTAAACGAGTTAATCTTTCCAATTGACCCTCATCATATGCATCATCTTTAGCAACACTCATCTCTTTCATATGCAATCTTTGACTAGAATCAATGTTTCTATTTTTCTGTGGTTTTCCTTGTTTTTAAATCCTCCCGTCCCTTTTATCGCTCTCTTTCTGTTGCCTAATCTTGCTTGGAGTTAAATATAAAATGCGCTGAAAATTGCAAATATATATCAACAATGAGAATCATATATGCTTTACGAATTTCAGGTGACTAGACATGACTTTTATGTATCCTAGTACCTTGGCTTCTGAAGCTGGATTCATAAGCGGATGTTGTTCCTCATCTTTGTGTTTATTGTAGCGGTCAATAATTGACTTCAAGCTGCCATAATAAGCAGAGAGAATTCAATCAATAAGATGAAAGTCAAGTTTAAGCAAATCTATATAATTCATTTATCTCTAAGCAATACTAATCGATTAACCCAGACCATGTTCATATGCACTCCCACGCATATCGTTATAATGCGTTCTTCCTAGTTTTCTGCACATATATCTATATATGTATGAAAATACTAGCTCAAACTGCCTCATGCACAGCTTTTGAAAGTTTTATTTAGAATGGAAGCTAGGTTTGATCAGCTCTCAGTAAAGTGTGGCCCGTAAACAATAGTAATTAATTAAAGATCAGCTAGCAAAAGGAGGAGTAGTTTCTGATATTTTATATGCAAGCATATAATTAAGAGGAGAAAAAGAATATTTAAACATACAAATCTGAAGCATCAATTGCAAGCGTGTAGAAACTCTTCCGTGTATGTGTGTGGGTGCAAGTGGGCAGATATAACCCCAAAAAAAAAAAAAAAAGAGTAAATTTCTAGATATCTCATCCAATATCATCACATTTTATCTTGGGATGATTAAAAAAGACTAGAATTGAAAAGGATCCAAAGGAATATTAATCACTTAGATCAAGGGAGAGAAAAGCACAGAGAAATTGCTGCTGTGATGGCTTCTGATAAATCAGAGAAAGGAAAAGAGTCAAATGAAGGTGGAAAGAAGAGGAACCTGGAGCTTCCATATTCATAGAGCTTGCCGGTGCTGGAGAAGAAGATGACCCCAACTTGTGCGTCACAGAGGATCCCAAGCTCTCTTGCTTTCTTGAGCAACCCAGTTCTTCTCTTTGAGAAAGTCACTTGCCTGTTTGCTGAATCGTCTATCCTCTTTATCGCAATCTTTGCTTTCCCCATTATTCAGATCAGCCACACAACAATATATTCGTCAAATTAAAGGAGTCCTTTACTGTAGATAGAACGCAAAAATAAAAAAAAATGATAAGAAGAAGAAGAAGAATTGTAATAAAGATTGCTTATATGATCGACAAGCTCGAACTCACAGAACAATTATGGAAGTGGGCAGACGAAGAAAAGAAGAAGAAGAAGAAGGAGAAGACAGACAGGTTTGTTTGGGAAGGTCCTAATAAGAGAGGCTTTTTTATGAACGATGCCCTTTGAGGCTTTGACTACTTCTATTTGCAAAGCTTCAAGTGGGTTTATATATGAGCTTTAGGGAAAAAAATTCGGTTTCCGGTTTTTTGGGGAATCGAAAAACCGCTGGCTGTTTTCTTTTAAAGTAGTTGGGTGACGGATCCAAACCAAATGCTCCAGTTGGGCTACCGTCTGAGAAATCGCCAGAAGTCGATCCTTTTTTTTTTTTTTTTAATCTCCTCTCATGCGCACTTATATATGATATTCATATTTCATATAATTATTCAATATAAAATCTCATCGGGTTAACTTTTATGAATTGGTAAATTCAATTAAGGATAATTTTTCTACTGCGATTGTTTTCCAGGAAATTTATGGAAAAAGATATCTAGTGAAGTCAAATTGAGAAATCTTAAGAAGATTATATAAGACCCATTTTATAGTATAAATTAAAATATAAAATGGGTCTTATTTACGATCGGAGGAATAATAAATAACAGGGCTAGGGTGTCAATTATGTCCCCTTAGCTGCACCCCAGCTCCGTTTCATTTTGGATTCCTTCCAAATATTTTTTTATGTCTTTTTACCATTAGATTTTATATAAAATAAGTGACATTTTGATATCTTATAAAAAAATAGTTTAGTTCTTTATTTTTTATTATTTTTTTCAAAGATTTGATACTCTAAATTAAAAAGAATTGAAACATTTGAAGTATTAAATCTTTGAAAAATCATAAAAAAATTAAAAACTGAATCATTTTTTGCCCTTAAGGTATCAAAATGTCAAAAGCCACGGAAAAAAAAACATTTGGGAATGACCCCAAAAATGAGGCGCAGTTGAGGAGGCATAGTTGACACCCTAGTCCCAAATAATAAATATGATGGAAACTTTTCACCAGAAAACAAATGATAGCAAAACTTAGCCAAACTCAAAAAGAGGCAAACTTAGCCGTGCAGTTGCTAATAGCAAAACACACAATAGTACTAACTCAGAAAAATTGAGGGTTTTGAGCAATTTGAGGCCCCAAGTTGTCTTTGGCCATCATTCTGACCTTCTTGGAGCATTTTGTAGCTTGGGGGTACTCGAGTTTGGTTCTTGAAGTAGAGATTGAGCTAGGATTTAAAGATTTTAATAGATTTGAGCTTCTTCTCCTTGTTCATCTTCTCCATCTTCCTTTTCCTTTCTCCTGTTCAATGTTTATGCTGAATTTTGTGTTTTATCTCATTGGTCTTCTGAACATGTGTGGCTAAAGTTTTGATTCTAGGGTTATTTTGAGCTCTTTTATGGATTGAATACCCTTTTTCCCCTTTATATTTGTGATTAATGATATGATTTTGCTAATTTACTTGATGCTTAATTCTTCTTATTGATTGCCTGCTAATGAGATTGTCAAGTTCACTTGATTGATGTTTGAAAGAGCTTGGTTAAGTGTAAAATTTAATCGAGTGAAACTTATAATTTGCTAGTTGAATGGGGTTTAATTAATTAATTAAAATATTAATGAATCAATTGAACTAAACACCTATTAAGGATGAAGGACTTGAGAGGTTAGTCTGAAAGAAGAATGGAGTAAGAGAAGAAGAAGAAGAAAGAAACTAATTAATGCCTGTGGTGCTTGTAAATGATGCTTGTACACACTTAAATTATTAATAATCCAATTTTGAAAAAAATTGGGATTAATGACCTACAATTGGCAAACTAGAACAAGCACCTAATGAATCTTCACTCAGTCTTCTACCAATTAACCCTTCCAATCAGAACCCTCCACAGATAGCTAGTCTTCTCTGGTTAGCCAATTCTCAATGAAAGTATCATTGCAACAGGTGCAGTAGACCACATCTTAGAAGCTAGTTATTGAAGTTGGAGAACACAAAACCTTATAACACTCATACACACTCATCTTTAAAAGTACTCTCCTATGTGAGACTCATGATATTAGCATATTTAAAATAAAAATAGGCATGGACAAAAATCTACAGTTTATCTATACATGTTCTGTGTCTTTCTATTCCATCATCTGCGTGTGCTTTTGTAATTCAGGTCCTTTTCTCCAAGTATATTTGTCAACAAGTTCTTAACCTCAATTTCTCCAATAAACTATTCTTTAGAATGCAAAGCATGTGATACCGTACGCACGCTCTCATAAATGTCATCAATACCAAAGAGGGAGTTTGCAATAAGACAACGGTGTTTACTTTAATTTCACAGCTTTGTCTAAAATCTAATTATGATAAATGACCGTGCCATAATGTTTAATTGTTGATAAGTGCTTAGACCATTAACAAGATGCAGCTTTATCTTTCAATTAAATAAGACTCTTTTGGATATACTTTGTGTAATTTGTCCAGTCCACATGTTCTTGCATCTCGACGACAATTTGTTTCCTGAAACAATCAAAGCCATCAAATATCTCAATTAACACACAAACGAGAAAACAGAAAATTAACAATTTATGTATAATGTTCTTAACTAGGAATAGCGAAGGTTCAATCATTAAAAAAAATGATGGATACATTGGTCATGGTGAAAATGTGTCGCCCAAATTTCATAACATTAATATCTTTTATGTTATTCCATCAACGGAAATTGACCCATTCTATATACCCCCTATAATTCAGAGGAGAGTTTTAGGAGAAATCTCTTAATCCTTTATTAAGAAACAATCATCTTTTATTTAAAATATTTATTATAGTTTTTTATCTCATTATAGTGTGAATATTATAAGAAACACCAACGAATTTTTTTAATAAAAATGTGAATTTTATTTAAAACCAAATAAAAAATTACATAAACATGCCAGCCAGTTACATTAGTTCAATTTGAGCAATGTCCAAATGTACTAAAAGAGAAAGGCCAATCCAGGACGACAAAAATAAGAAAAATGAACAGACCAACAATAAAGACAACAGAAGAAACTAACGTAACAATAGCTAAAAGAACCATGCAGCATCAAAAAACTAAAGCAGACTTGAAAACAGATCTGAGACAACCGAAAGCAAGTATCTTGTTGTGCTAACCATTTCTCTTCCACACATGGACGCTCAACAGCACGCACCTATTTCCTTAAAGCTGCAGCTTAAAGTGTTTATTACACATTAGAAACTTACCATTGATTAAAATTATTTTTAATTATTTTTTTCTGTTGATAAATTAGTTATTTATTTATTATAAAAGGACAGGAGGCAGAGTTACTGTTGCATGCATGTTGTCCTCCAACTTGCCTCATTCCCCTTTTTAATAATGGGCAAAAAAGTGGACTGACAATAACTTGACTGCTACAAGTAATTTATTATTCGCTCACACCGCGTTCACACCGTGTTCGCACCGTGTTCGCATTGAGAATCTCACAATTTGTTAGTAAAACAATCCTCGGTTTATATTATACATTGGATTATCTACATTTCTAAGCACATCTCTAGGAAAACATACTATAATTTAAGAGAGAGAACCGCCGTGATGGGACTGTGAAAAATATAGCCAGAACCCGTTATAGCGGGTTTCCTAGCAAAAGCACACAGCTTTTTGCTGGTTTTGGCCGTACGTAATTTAAAGGTAGGTTGGAGCTTTGAATGGAGGAGGCTGAAGTTGATTGGGGATGGCTGCTGCTGCCCTGCGTCTCTAGCCGTCTCTTAATTTTTGGGCTCTTTTCAAATGTTTTTTTAGATTTTTTTAATATTGGATTCTAAATAAAATAGTGACATTTTGATATCTTATTTACAAAAAATTGTTTAGTTTTCAATTTTTTTACAATTTTTAAAGATTTAATACTCTAAGTTAAAAAGAAACTGAGCCATTTAGAGTATTGAATCTTTGAAAGTCGTAAAAATTGAAAACTAAATCATTTTTTGGTAAATAAAATATCAAAATATCACTTATTTTATGTAGAATTTGATGATGAAAAGCATCTCAGAACAAATATTTGAGAAGAGCCCCAAAAAGCAGCACCTGGGGGCAGCAACTAATACCGAGCCCGTTGAAGCTTGGGATGCAGAAGATTCACAACATGAGCAAAACATCGGTACTTATTACTAGCTAGTTTTCTCTTTCTTTCCTCTTCTTTTTAATATGTTTTTGTACTCCTCTGGTCCAAAATATAAGAAGTCTTTTAGAAGAAAATTTTAATCCAAAATATAAGATTGCTAGGTTGACAGGACCCCTTGTTATAATGAGCATAGGGATGATAGAATTTTTCAATCACATTCTTTAGTAAGGATAAAATTGGTAATATTTATCAATTTAAAACACATTTAATGATTTAATTAATAGCTTGAATTGTGAGAAAACTTAACTGACACTTTATGTTATGAATCAGAGGCAGTATTATTATGGTTGGTTGTCAGACATGAAAAGTCACTACTACAAGAAGGGTAATTAATGTTAGCTAGGGACAGGTTTTTAACGACAGTTAAATGAGGGATGTATATATATACGGGAACATAGTTTGATGCTTCTATATGACGGTTAAAAGGCGATTTGGAGTAGAATATTCTATGATAGTAACACGTATAACCATCGTAGATAATATTTAAATGTCGGTAATCAGGTTTAATCACCATAGTATGTTTGAACTAAGATTTCGTTTAGCTGAACTAAACGTCGTTGATATGGTTTTCTATGACGGTTATCCTTAAGACTAACGTAGAAATTATATTTTTTTATATTAAACCTACCTATAATTGCAAATTATATCACAGAACCAACTAGCAATTATATGTCCAGAACCAACAATCACACACC